TTTCCAGTGTTACCATCTTAAATTTTGAAAAATCCGTTCGTGGAACCAAGGTCTGTTTATACAAAATCTTATTTTGATTTCTGGTTGTAAATAACAATATATAAACAAGCTCCCAACTGACCCAAAATGAAACCACAAGGGAAAAAAACAGATTTGGACTGTGTGACTACAAAACATACAAGCTGCTTTTTACTTGCCTTCTTTTAAAAAAGAAAAGCTTTGTCTTACTTAAATCTATACTTCCCTGAAGCATGGGGAAACAAAACATAAATGAGCACAGCCCTTGACTTACATCTTCTGGAAAGAGGTGCAACCTTTGCATCATGGTTCTTCTGTGTAAATTCTTAGGGAGCATTCCATAAATAGCCAACTTAACAATCTGCAAGAGATTATACATTATGAAACTTTATAAAATCAGCATGTGAAACAGTTACAGCAAAACGACAGAAACAATGGGTTAGAAGTAGTGTGGACCAGTGGTGCCCAGCCTCTGATCACAGGTCCAGAAATTTGGCAGCAGGGGAATGACACCAGCATTAATTGCCTTGGCTTCCCCACCACTGGTTTAGAGGACCTGCAGGGAGCTCTGCAGATGGGGTGACATGGTCCTCCATGTGGAGTCATTTAATAGCCAAATCCAATGAATGTGGCTGGGCCAGTGTGCTGGACTGCACCCATGGACTAACTCTGCACACTGACCCCATGCTGGATCTGGCCTGAGAGCTAACTCTATACCACTCATCTGGCCTGCAGGAACAGAAGGTTGAGTACCACTGTTGTGGACTATTCCTCCAGTCCTTGGATTTTGTTTCAATAATTACTTTTACAGAGAAGAGTTCTATCATCATCTGCAGATGTAGCTTAACTATTCTCAGAGGCCAAAGACTAGTAACTATTGTGAGAGCAGTAGAGACAGGAGGGAGTGAGACTAGGACAGTTTTTGTGCACCCGTTATCCCCAGTGAATGAAGGCCCATGCAGGCCCTTCCAGAGTTAAAAAGGTGAGGTGAAAACTCCCCAACACCTTCTCTGAGAGGGCTGAATGGGCCTTATTCACTTGCCACACCACTCACCTCATCTGTATACAAGAGATTCCAAACATGTCTCCTTTAATATATATTGTTATTTAATTGCTCAGGATTAGGGAGTATTCACAACTTTCCTAAATTTAATGATATTTTGATGTGATGCCTGATTAGTACCACTGACAGCGAGAGAGTGCTGAGAACAACACTGTATGTCCCAGTATGAAAGCTTCCATAGATATATTTGAAGATGAAGACTGGAGGTTTGGAGCACCTCAATAATATATAAGGTCTTGTTCAATATATTTCCAACATTTACCAAAGTTTAATAACATCACAAAAAGAAGAAAATTGGAAAGGTGCCCATATGGTTTAAATACTATTATATACATGCACTCCTACACTTAACATATCCTAATTAAGATGGAACAAAATCACCAAATATTTCCCTGTATATAAGTTAACACCACAGTGTGGTGACTTCTTGTGTTTGTATGTTTATACATAGTTAATGCAGCATGTCTTGAGCAAGCCTGAAGCAGCAAGGCACCCCACCAAGAATACTGCTGGACACATTTATCATGTGAATATTATTTTCTAGGTATAAATTCCAGATGAACAGTGCCACTTGCGATCGTTAGAACTGAATACAATTTGTACAACCTCACTATATAAACTTGTAGAAAAAGAAAAGCATTTAATAGTTACACAGCTATTTATATTTACACAACTATACCTGAACATAAGAAACTAGTGTCACCGTGCAAACATTTCCTTTAACCTTAGAAAGGAAACATTGTGAAATATAAGAATAAGTAAAGCAAAATCCTTAATTCTTTAAAATAATGGAAACGAGAGGGTTTATAAAGCTGAGTTCTGAGCTTAAATTACACAGGGCCTGGTTTCCACAGCAGCAAGCACTAAAAGTTTTGTTTCCATTAATGAGAGCATAGATGCTCGGCACCTCAGAAAAGAATAAGACCTCTGTGGATTCAACTTAGACCATTCAAAATTACTGAATACTTTGGTCTTTACGTCATCTGTGTGTGCTGAGTTTGCCAACTGTACGTTGTATATAATACTTCTCTACTTGGCAGAGATGTATAGACTTTTAATTAATAAATATCTGCTACAGTGTTTTGAGATTGTCTGAGGAAAGACACTAAAAGTAATGTAAGGCACTACTATCAGAGACCGTTAGATGTTAGGGAGACAGGATTAAGAGAATTGTATGCATCAAAAGAGATTTATTTCTTCTAGCTACTGAGGCATTTTTACATGTGTTCCCAGTGCGGCACCAGGCGTTTTAATCAGGGAGCCATGCTAATTAGAAGTGCCTGCACGTCACATGTATCATTGTTGCGCGTCTCTGTGTTGAAAAAATGGTAGTGGGGCACTCTGAACTACAGCTCATCAGACACGTAGTATTTCAAAGCACACCGACACTATTTTGTAAGCAGAGACACGCGGCAACGCGGATACAAGGGACACATGAGGCTGCGGGAGCACGTCAATGTCCATGCTCCAGCAGATTTGATTAATCAAGTCTGCTCCGACGCACTGGAGTTCTAGTGTGTTGGATAAAGCTCCCCGCAAGCACATGGGAGCCCTAAGATGTTAAAAATAATATGCTAGAAACCAAAATAACTTGGAACCTGAAATAAGGCTTCTTTTCACTGAAATGTCTTGGTGATCTCAATGTCTTTTGAATCAAGAAGATAGAGAAAACATCAGCAAAGCTAGAATAAAGCATAGGACTGACCCTGTCTGGGTAAAAATAATCTCTGTAATAATGTAAGCCTGTCTATATGTACTAATTACTGTCCATTGAGCCATACAAATATGCAGGCATAACAAGATATATATTGAACTAAACAGCATTTAAATTGTATACTTGCATAGATCGTTCTAGATGAAATTGTAAACAAACACATTTGAATAGGATTTGTTATCCAAAAAACAGGTGAGGATTCAAATTATTCATCTGAAATTATTTTCTTAAGTAAATCCTGACAATCAAATTAGACACGGTAGCAAAACAAAAGATTCAGGGAGACCAACAGTAGCTGAACCTTATTTGAGTATTTCTTTCCTCATGATTTAATTTTCATTCCATTCTCTTTTAAATCTATGTTCACTTTTTCTAAGGTCAGTATCTTTCCACCTTTAATTCCTCCTCTCTATCCTTAAAATAGTCCTATGCACCTCACACATCACTTCCGAGCACTGGGATGCACATTTCAGGGATTTCTACACTTACAGTAGACCTCCCCCAAACTGTATCAACTCAAATTAAAGGCAAGGTCAGGCCCCACTCCGACATGTTACAATAGCAACCCCGTGACAAGGGCAACATTCCCTCTAGCTACCACTTACAGTCCCCAGCTGAAATGCATATTAATGACTTCCAACATCTGCTGGAAAATGATGATATTGCAAGCTAGCCTTGGGCAACAAGTCCATCCTGGCTTAAAGGCAGCCCCTCTCCATCCCCACAATCTAGCAACAGATCACTTCACTCCAGTTCACACCATGCCACAGGCCTAGGTGCCAGTTTGCCCCTCATTGCCCCGGATATCATCACTGAACCAAGCAGTACACATAATAACATCTACAGTTCTTTCCCTTGCTCTTCTACCAATGTCATAAATGCCCTTACCCAATTACAGTGCCCCTCTGCTATCTCTATTGCCCAGATGGAACAATTCCTACATAAAAGAATGAATGGACAAAGAGTCAACATCAGTTCCAGAAATGCATAAAAACTTGTGGTAGAACACTTCAACATCCCTAGATACTCCGACAGTAGCTGTCCTGAAACAAATGAACAAAACCCTTTAAAAATCAAGTGGAATGTGAAATTGCAGAACAAGAAATCACCACTGGACTGGACAGGACTGGAGTAACAGCATACTTACGTGTCCTGCTAATCGTTAGCAGTGCCACTTCTCAACTGAGGGACTTCCTTATAACCTCTCCCAGCAGCCTCCTCTCCCCTTACATGTTTTCCCTTCTATACAGACATTTCTTTTTGCCAGTCCATTCTTGGAATCTGATGAGTACGCTGTTGCCTGCGAAAGCTCATGACTCTCTAAACCCATTAGTCTCTAATGTGCTATCCTGCCCTGCCTTCTTCCTGTCTGCAGACCAATACAGCTAACTACCTCAATTCCAAGCTCGAATTTATCTACTGCCCATCATTCTTTATAAAATGTAGTTAAACTGTAAGCAATTTTCTTTTTATCTGACACTTGCTTTTCACCTTAGACTGCATTAGAACTACTCTTTAATTCAGAGTATTAACATGTAAGATTGCCTGGCACAGGATCTACACATCTATAAAACTAGTTGTTTAATGGCTTCTGCCTGGTAGAGTGATTTTAAAACACTCTGATGACTGTTATTACAGTTCCTCAAACAAGAGATGTTTGTGCCAATTTTTCACTTTCCTCTGTGAAAGTATCTGGCTTGTTCGGTGTTAGAAGCACGATACTAAGCTAGATGAACTAACAATCTACTCTGGTGTGGCTATTTCTGTTCACTAATGTGGTCCAATTTTGTTTTTTAAATCATGTTCCAGAAAGAAAAATTCCGCTCTAAAAAAGGTATGGTGTCTATTAAAAACAGCCCCACAGGAAAAGAATTCATACTTTAAGTGTTCAAGTTAAACAAAAAATACATCTTCAAAAGACAAACTTCAGAAGAAAATTAAAGGAAATGCTTCTTCACATATCGTGCAGACATTCTGGAATTCGCTCCTTATCTCAGAGGTCACAGCTTATATGAAAGATGGATGAGGGGATTGAAATCTGAAAGATTAAATGTCCAATAAGGATACCTGTCACTATACATGCTAAATATGGTAAGAATTACCCAAGCTTGTGCTCCAGGGTATAAGCCAGTTGACACAGCATTCAGGAATCAAATCCTCCCGATGAATATTATGCACCTTATCAGAGTTAAGAAGAGTGAATGCATGTAAGCTCATTTTCATGTGAAGCAACAAGCATCCTTCACTGCCAGCGGGATGATACTGGCTCGTCTGATCCAGTAAGGTCAATTCCATGTTTCTGTATAACTTAGTTCCTCTCATGCCATTTCAGAACTTGGGTACCATTGATGTACAAACACTCAAGGGAAATCTTGTGACTTGTTAATTAAACAATTTATGTAGCTCATCTTATTTTTACATACTTTCGCATGGTTATTCCATTTTTCTATGGTTTAAATAGAAAGGGCTGGATTTCCTTCCACTTGAACCAGGCACCTAGGCAAAAGAACAAGAGAAAGTTCATTTCTCTTAGGTCTGGCCTTAGGTACACTTCATTCTTCTCAACCCCAAGTAGGAATGCAAT